GGCTCAATGGTTAAGAGCACTGGCTGCTCTTCCAGAGGACCCGGATTCCATTCCCAGCACCCACATGGCACCTCACCACCACCTGTAACTACAGGAGACCCAGTACCTTCTTCTCGTCTTTGTGAGCACTCTCACATGTGGTGTGCAAACATACATGGGGCCAGAACACCCCCACACCGAAAATGTAAAAAAGAAAAAACATGGGTGCTCGTGATGGGACAAGTTCAGTCCTAACATGCTTGGTCTGGGCTGGGCCAGGAAGATGGGATAAACTTAGAACACACAGACACACTTGGGACTTCACTGTGCTCTGCATGGTGATTGCTACTATCTGCTGAGCTACCAACCCTGAGTCCTAAGCCCTTGATAAACACTAATTAAGCTTTCCTAATCCCATGCTAGGTAGGGATTACCACCTCCATTTGGGGTTGAGGAAAGAGAGGGGGCTTAAGCTTTTTCCTCTGCAGACTCATCTGGTGGTACTGTTACCCGTGTGGGAGCTCAGGCCTGCAGCCCCGTCAATAGATTCGGTGTTTGTTGCTGCCCTGCAGCCAGGTGCTCCCATGGGTGTCACAGGCTGTTCTGTTTCACTTCTCTCCTCCTCAGGCTTTAGGAACAAGAGTGTAACTTTGGCCCTGGGCCTGTGTACACGGAGCAGTTGTCATCGAGATAGAGGAGGGAGATGATTTGTGGAACAATATTAAGAAAGAGTTTTTCTTTTCTTTTCTTTTTTTTTTTGAAGCGAGTTCAGTGGTGGGATGGGCTGCCTGGAGGCAGTGGGCTCACACAGTCGCACCTGGGAAGTCACGTCTGTTGGGAGGGCAGAATCATCTCTTGAAGTATTGTGTGTGTGTGTGTGAAGCAGAGGAAGCCAGGAAGTGCTGTGATTGTATACCTCTAACCTGGACAGAGGAGGTAGCACAGTTGGTGTAGTGTTTAAACACCCTACCTGAGGTTCTGGGTCTCATCCCCAAACACGACATAAAACTGGCGTGATGACACATGCCTGTAATCCCAGCACTTGGGAAGAGGGGCAAGAAGATCACAAATCCAAAGTCATCCTTGGCTGGAGAGTGAATTTGAGGTCAAACTGAACTACATGAGACCCTGTCTGAAAACAAAAACAAAAATGAAAACGAAAATCAAAACAGAGAAATAGATGCCTCTAAAATGCTCCTGGACCTTGAAATTGAAGGGCACAGATGACCTCGTCGAAGTTCAGTGAGGGAAGCATGTTCTAGAAGGTGAGCTCATAGAGCCAGGGAGTTCTAGGAGGCCCTAGGTCAGTCTGGAGCCTGCTTTCTCTACCCTTCTCTCAATGCCTGGTGCTGGGCCACTGGCAGAATTGCAAGGGGTGGTCCTGAGCTGAAGCAGGACTTAGAACCACAGCTGCTGCTGTCATTGTCACCACGGTTTCAGCTCTGGTAGGGAGGACTCTTGATCTGTGAGCCCTACTCCCTGAGTCCTGGTGGTGTTAGCTAGAGGGGCTTGGGAACAGGGAGGTGGTGATTGGAGATGGAGGGAGGGAGGGAAGGAGGAAGGGATCCTGTTCTAGGACAGAGGCTGGGCAGATAGAGAGAGAGATTATGAATACAAGATTTTGCTGGCAGGTCTCTGGTCTATGAGTAACCACCAGGTCCGACTCCTCAAACCTGCGGACCTGCTGGGAACTGCTCTGGATAAACTTATCTTGAAGTCGCTTTACTATGAAAAACACTAGAAGATCACAAACACTCACTGGGGAGTGGTGAGCTTGGTTTCCTCATCTATACATTGAGGATTAATCCCAACACTTTGAATGGTTAAGAGGATTACATGAGATTAAGTCAGAAAATACCCATAAAACACCTGGCCCCACAGAGCTGAAGGACTCAACAAAGGTAATAATTATCTCCCTCCCTCTACTCTGAGAAGGGCTCATACTCTGTGACCATGACTTCAGTGTACTTGAGTTTAAGAAGTATCCATTGAACAGCCACTCCACGCCAGCAGCTCAGCCTGCCTTTCAAGATGGGAAGATAAATAGGACCAGGCCATTGTTCTGTGGAAGCTCACCTTGGGGGCGGGGACTGACATATATTACAATCCAGTGTGGAGTTATTCTACTTGTCTGGGGAGATGGTCCCTGCCAGGAAAGTATCACTGGGCACTCATCTTGAATGTGACTCATCCCTGAAGCATCACTAGGAGCTATCTGTGCAGAGGCAAAGAGAGAGCTAAAGTGTTGGATAGCAGGCATCACCAGAAGAGCCAACGATGTGGTATCGCCAGAATGGAAGATGTGTGAGTGAGGGATGAGCCGGCTTTACTGGGTCATGGAGGGGCCTGTGGACCGTGGTTGGGAGCATTAATGGCAGAGCAGTTGAAGAACACTGTATGGCCAGGCTTTGCATTTCAATTCATTCTGGTGCATGTGATATGTGTAGGAGAGTTTGGAAGAGGTCCACCCTGAGCATAAGAACACCACGAGGGAAGGCGGAGTGATGGTTTAAACTTAAGGGAAGATTGTATTCTTGGAGGGAAGGGTCAACAGGGCGCTGGCGTTGCTTGGCTCTGGGTAAATGAAGGGCATTGGTGGGAGAAGTAAAGGACAACATCCATGCTTCTAGTGTACTGGGGGAGTCAGGTGCTCTGTGATGGGGGCAGAAGACAGAACAAAGAAGGGCAGAATTTGGTGGGAACATTATTTCTTCGGTGAGTTTAGTTTGAGTTGACTATTGGGTATGGACGAGAGGTGTCTAGGGGTCAGCTCCTTCTCAGTTCTTGGACAATTTGCAATGGAAGGCCATGATCCTGCAGTTGATGTCACAGCAGCGGTGTCCTAGACCTTCCTGGTGTGGAAAAGAGGAGGATTCAAGATAGAAACAACTTAGCATTTAAGATTGGACCAGAAGTGGGTTATTCAGAGGAGGAGAAAGAGCCGCTGTGGGAGGGGGAAGCCTGGATGAAGGGAACATTATGGGGACTTCAAAACTCTGATTTCAACAGGGAAGTGGTTGGCAGGTGAAATGTCCCTGAGGGCTCCTGTAAGGTGAGGCAGCAGTGGTCTCCAGCGGGTGAGGAACTTTATGACTCCAGATTAGCAAACAAGGAGGAGAAAGGTATAGCGGGCACACCTGTAATCCTGACAGCTCATGAGCTCCAGTCTGGAAGTTGAAAGTCATTCTGGGCAATTGGCAAGATCTTGTTTCAAAATAAAATGGACATGGGGACCAAGGGTCTGGTGATGTAGGACAGTGGTGGGGTACTTCCTTGGCATGTGAAAGACCGTGGGTCTAATCTCTAATACTAGGAAAGAGAAAAGAAAGAAAAACAAAAAGAAGACAAGATGAAGGAACAGGGAGGCAGTGGTAACTTTTCTCTCAGAAATTTGGATGAGAAGAGCAGAAAAGAGAGATTGGTACAGACAAGGAAGAGAAATGAGCAAAGACATTTTAGAAGCTGGGGCCCTAAGCCTGAGCATCCGCATGGAGTGAGGAGGAGCAGATAGAGATAAGTTTGTGGATGCTGGGAGAGGCATGCCTGACAGAGTACGGCTGCGAAGGGAAGAATCGAGCTCAGGGTAAAGAGGGATATGGTGGATGCACTACTGAACCCTGGTTGGAAAGCCTGTCACATGGAAAGCCAGTGGCCCAGAGAAGAGCGTAAAGAAAAGCAACCTGGAAGGAGATAGGCCAACATCATCAGATGCCCTGTATGAGAATTCTGAGAGGCAGGGGATATTCATGAAGATCAGGTTTACATTCAGAAACCAGCATTTCCCCAGGAGCCTGAACCAGGCAGTCTGATGCTTTAATAATGATCTAGTGGTGGCCTCTTCTTATCTTTGAGAGCAAGTTGCTCTAGGCGTGAAGATCATGTCCTGAGAATGAGAATAAACCCACGTGCAAAGCTATGCTTGTAATCACTTCGTTATCTTCAACATTTAGTGTGGGAGGTTGGGAAAAATGAACACTCATGTTTTTAATTTTTCAATGAGCAGGGTGAGCACAAAGCAGCCATTTCCCTTATAGCATTTTTAACACTCACTTAGTTTAGGTTGATCCTCCCCCTTTCTCCCATATCCCTGTTTCCTCATGCCAGGCTCAACCCTTTCACTGCTAGCAGCCCATATTCCATTTTCTTTTTAAAAAGATTTATTAAACATTTTAAATTGTGTGTGTGTGTGTGTGTGTGTGTGTGTGTGTGTGTGTGTACATACATGAGTTCTAGTGCCTGTGGAGACCTGTGGAGGGCATCAGATGCTCTGGAACTGGGGTTACAGGTGATTCTGAGTTTCTTGATATGGATGCTGGGAACCAAATTCAGGCCCTCGGCAAGAGCATCGCATGCTCTTAACTGCTGTGCCATCTCTCCAGCCCCCCACCCCCTTCCACTTTACTATCACACGAAGGACACCCATTTTGGAGATTGTGTAAGTATGTTTGGCCTTGGTGATGGTGGAGAGGAGGTTGTGGGCAGAGTTTGTGAGAGACAGGAGTAGCTGTGTTTGGTGGCATGGTCAGGGAGAGATTTGAGCAGAAGGCTGCAGAGGTGGGGAAGGATGAACTAATGACAAGATGAGGAGGGGTGAGGTCAGGAAGCAGCAAAGACAGTGGCGTTGGAGGCCAGCAGGCGTGAGGAGGTGAAGGAACCACGAGGCTAAGGGTCAGCAGTGGCTGATGTCCCCATCACATGGGAATCTGCCCACAGAGCCAAGTGACAAAGAAAGCCGAGCAAATGGGATGGGTGAGTTTTAGGGATGGTGATGATGGAGAGTTCAGTGCCTTCCACCTGAGAGGGCTCCATGCTGTGGCCTGAGGGACCCTGATTCAATGAAGGCTGACAGATAGAAGCCAGTGGCTGGGAAGGAGACCCCTAGAGTGGGCCTTCAGGAACCTTGTCCAAGGCTTCAGGAGCATGCCTGATGTCCCATCAGGGATGGAGCCTTGTCTTCTGTCTACCCTTTCTCTTCTTTCCCAGGGTGCACTCAGACCCTGTTCTTCTTTCCTTCTTCCAAGGGGCAGCTATCTGGACCCTTGGCCAGGGTTGGTGAACTGTCTGCCATCCCACAGTTCAGCCCTCTATATCTGCCACCACATGGAAGCTAGGAGCCAGGCTCTCAGAAGACAGCTGTGCCCACCTGGAATCACTTGGCTGGCCCTGGCCTATCTGCTCAGCTGCTTGCTTGCCTCCAGCAAGGCCAAGGTCTTCAGTCGCTGTGAGCTGGCCAAAGTGCTGAATGACTTCGGTCTGGATGGCTACCGCGGATATAACCTAGCTGACTGTGAGCACCCTTCTCTCTTCTACTCAACCCACTCCCCTGTCTTTCTTCCTCCTCATTCAAGGGTCTTGGAGGTTTTCTGAGCTTAATCCTTCTTTGTAAAACCAGAAGTCAATGAGACTACAGGTGGACAGCACCTACTTCCTGAGTTAACCACCTGCTAGGCAGACAACAGGCAACCAGATTAGAACCAACCCTGTTGCTAGTCAGGAAGTCAAAGTAACCAGCAGCTTAGTAGGTTACACTTTATCTTGGCCATGAGGATCAAATATGCCTGCTGAAACTTAGATGGCAACCTGAACAAATCTATAATACCAAGCATTGTACACAAGAGGCAGTTTCAGAAGACTGTAAAGTACAGTCACATCTAGATTCATTTTGTCTCTAGTCCTGGCCTCCTTTGTAGAGCCTGCTTTGTGTCTTCCTAATCTTGCCTCTAATGTTTAGCTCTTGTAAATCCATTCAAGAAACGCAGCAAGCCTTTCTATATACTGAACAATGAGAAAGTGGCAAGATTGACGTCCTGAGTCAGGAAGGCTGAGATCAGTCCCGACCCTTGCTTTGAGGTAACGCTATGTAATTTCAGGGAAGTCACTTTGACCTCTGACCCTAGATTGCTCCATCTGCAAAGTTAGATGGGAGGATACTTGTTGTTGTTTCCTTGGGGTAGAGGGAGCCAGTGTCTAAAACATTTATCTGTGAACACTTTGGTCCGTGGTGGTCCAACCCCCTGACCTCAAAGCCTGTGTCTGCCCCTCTGTAGGGGTCTGCCTTGCTTACTACACAAGCGGCTTCAATACAGCTGCTGTGGACCACGAAGCTGATGGAAGCACCAACAATGGCATCTTCCAGATCAGCAGCCGGAAGTGGTGCAAGAATCTCTCCCTGAATGGCCCCAACATTTGCCGGCTATACTGCAGTGGTGGGCTAGCCTCTTTTTCATAGTTTAGTTTTCTTCTTCTGTCTTTGTCTCTGTGTGGAGATCCCCCAGGGGGTGGATAAAGGGCAAATGGGAATGGAAGATCTTCTGTGAATTTAATTTGGGGTCCAGGCTGAGAAATGGTCTTAGAGCTACAGTCATGGAGGAAAGTGTGTGTGTGTGTGTGTGTGTGTGTGTGTGTGTGTGTGTGTGTGTGTGTAAGGGTAACATGTGTTTCCAGAGATGGAGGAGTGGTGTGTGTGTGTGTGTGTGTGTGTGTGTGTGTGTGTGTGTGTGTGTGAGAGAGAGAGAGAGAGAGAGAGAGAGAGAGAGAAAGAGAGAGACAGACAGACAGAGAGAGAGACAGAGAGAGAGAGACAGAGAGAGACAGAGAGAGACAGAGAAATAGAGAGACAGAGAGAGGGAGAGACAGAAAGAGAGACAGAGACGAGAGAGAGAGAGAGCACCCTGTTCTCTGCTCCCTCACTGTGTTTCCCTCCTCCTACTCCAGATTTGTTGAACAATGATCTCAAGGATTCTGTCATCTGTGTCATGAAGATAGTTCAAGAGCCCCAGGGTATGGGCTACTGGTGAGTAACTCCCACTGGAATTGTGCAAGTTGTGGCCAGGACTGGAGGATAGCATCAGGGAACTGGCCTAACATGAGTATCCACTTTTTCCTAGGCAACATATTTTCTTGGCTTCATGAAGCAAACTTCACAACCAGTGTTGGTAATTATGAGAATCCAGATAATTACAGACGACACAACTGGAGAGAATAACATTGGCAATCACATGACCACACAGCTCAACCCAAATTTTATATAAAAGCCCAAAGTATAAAATAGATAGTAGATGAGGTTCTTTGCTTGGATCATGGGTAGGGCTCTGGAACCTTCCTCTACCAGTTTTTTCCTTACCTACTTTCAGAACTATGTCCTTTGAAATCTTCTCCCAATGGGGAGTTTGTCTGAGTGTTGCACTGGGTTCTGACCTAGAGGGTTAGTTCATATAAGCACCTGGGTCACTTGCTTCACAGTTACCCAATCTCTTTGGATGGGGCTTTTCCAATGAGTCTCCAGCCTCCACTCCACTCATGCTTACAGAGGAGGAACCAGTAGGGCAGGGCAGAATCTGGGAAAGGTGAACCTCTCCAGGGCTGAGGAACATCCAGACCACGAACAGATTGTAGCAGCTGATAAGGTTGGGGAAGGAACTTTAGAAGACCTTGGAGCAGAAGGAAGGAGAGAGTAATGATGGGGTAGAATTGGGGCATCTGTTGGATGGTCTTGCAGGAGTCTAGGTGGCACATAGGGTCTGGAGAGGGACAGGTGTACCAATGGTGGATACAAGAGAGATTAGATATAAGGGGTGGGAAGGGATTCAGGAGTAGATGAGATATGGTCTAAGAGAAAGAGGAGGGGGTGAAAATGACTGAATCATGAGATATTCCAGGCATATTATTTGAAATGGACACTGCTTTGTGGTCTGAGAATAGTTGAAACCCTAAGAAGTGAGTTTGAGGTAAGGCCAGCTCTGTAGGACAGAGTGTGTTTATAACTGTGTTATAAAAGGGACAAGGTCAGGTCCGGTGCCAGTCCAAGAGCTTGCAGCCTTGGTACCCCTATTGTGGAGTGGAAGACCTGGTCCTAATAGGTGAAACTAAAGAGCATCTCTTTTATACACTTGGAGTAAATTCCTGGCATGGATGACTCTTGCGGGTCTGAGGCTAATTGGAGAAAGTGGGTCCAGAAGGCTCAGTGCTGTCCATTCCTGTCCACTCAATGCACTGGGGATGCAGGTATACAAGATCTAGGTAGGTGCTGAGCTTCCGAGAGAGCTGAGACCTATCTTTGTCCTTGAGTATCTTACAGTCTAGTGCAACAGACAACCAACCTCTCTTGGTCGACAGTTATTTAGAAGTCTTTCCAGTGTGCTATTGATCATTAGGCTCATTGACATTGACATTGTAAAGGACACCAGTTTTCAGATCTTGGGATGCCTGAGAACTTTGGACCCCAGGATCCTGTGTTCTTGCTTGTCTTCCTTAAGATGTCAGATGTGATAGCACTGGGGAGACAGTTAAGTCCATGAGAATTGCTTGTCATGCAAGAGTGAAAACTTGGTCCCCAGGACATATATGTAAAAGCTGGGCATTTGGTATTTGTAATCCCAGCACTAGGGAGGTAGAGACAGACAGATTTCTGAGGTTCACTGGCCAACCAGCCTAGCTTAAATTGGTAAGCTCCAGGTTCAGTGGGAGACCATGTCTTAAAAAATAAGGTAGACACTTCCTGAGAAATGACACTCAAGGTTGACATCTAGCCTAAGACACACACAGACACACAGACACACACAGACACACACAGACACACACACACACACACACACACACACACACACACACACACACACACACACACACACACAGAGGAATGGTCCCAAAAGAATATAAGTCAACCATGGAAAGATTTAGATTGGCAACCAAGACATGATGAGTGCACGTCCAACCATGTACCCTGGGTACATAAGTCTACATCACAACCTGAGTTTTTAATTAGGAAAATAGGGGAGATAACATTGACCCAATCTACCTAATAGGCCAGCTGGGGGCAGGAGGGAAGCAGTTACAAGTGGGTGAAAGTGGGTGAAGGGTATGGTGGCATGTAAACTGTGTGAAGGTCTTTACACATATAAGGTGGCCTCACTGTTCCCCGAAGCACTTGGGTGTAGGAAAGGAACTTTGTACCTAGGCTCCAGATTCCAGCTTCTAACCCTTTGATGAGGACTCAGGGGTAAGCCTGAGCACACTAGTGTGTATCTCCCATGGTACAATAAGTCAGCTAGACTTTGACTTTTAATGGCCATTCTCTTCCTTAGAAAACATCTCCCCTAGGTGAGCTCAGCTTTTTTGTTGCCTCCCATCCTCTTAGTCCCTTGCTTAGCCTCTTAGCAACTTTGCTTCTCTTTAGTTTAGAGCCCTGTACCTTTCCTGCTCTCTGAAGCTGATGTGGATTCTTTTGGGGGGGGTGGCGGAGACAGGGTTTCTCTGTGCAGCTGTGGCTGTCCTGGAACTCACTCTGTAGCCCAGGCTGGCCTCAAACTCACAGAGATCCACTTGTCCTCTGCTTCCTGAGTGCTGGGATTAAAGACGTGCGCCACCACCGCCTGGCTGCTAATACGGATTCCTTTCCTCCTTGTTTTCTATCCCTAGGGAGGCCTGGAGGCATCACTGCCAGGGCAGGGACCTCACCGACTGGGTGGATGGCTGTGACTTCTAGGACCTTCTCTGGATGGACCAAGTCGCACACAGCTGGCTGGGAAGTGTGGTTGTGTTCCTGACGCAGGCTTGGGAAGACAAGCCAACTAATAAAAGTCTAATTTTACATAAGCACGTGTCCCAGCTTTCTGCAGGTCTGCAGGCACCCAGCTGGAGCCAGAGCCATCTCTTGTCTTCTTGTCTCACGTGCCCCTGGGCTTGGCTTCAGGTGGACTCCAAAAATCTATCACGGAAGGCTTGGGGACAAGGTCAGTGCCTTCCTTCCCCATATCTGGCAGAGTTTGGGTCTAGAGTCACCAAATTTATCAAAAGCCAAACCAAAGCAAAAAATAGGATTAATTTGGATTTCAGCTACACAAGTAGCTTTGATGTACATGTACAATTCAAATCTTGTATGGCTCATACTGATATTGAAGGACCTACTTGTGTATATGAAATTCAAATTTAATTGGGAGCTGCTGTATTTTTACTTGGTAAGCCTAGATAAGTCTGGTGTTGGGAACCCTTGGCACATTTGGAAAGTTCCTGGGGATGCTTACATTCTGCAGTTCTGGTTGTAGATGTGGCCATCATGTCTTGGCTCTCACTCTGGTGTCTTCTCACATCCTATGGTCATGAGGTGGTGCAGAGTGACTGCAGGTGTGTGAAAAACTTCAGCGGTGTGTCCCCTCCCTAAGTTCTGTCCAGTGTGTCTCCTGTGTGCATGCGTGTGTGTGCGTGCGTGCGTGCGTGTGTGCGTGCGTGCGTGCGTGCGTGCGTGTGTGTGTGTGTGTGTGTGTGTGTCCTGCTTTATTAGTGCCCTCTAGAGGCAGGAGAGTCAAGTGTCACTGCTGGTCACTTCTTGGAAGGGGAAGTCATCACACTCTGCCCCTAAGAGGCTGGAAGATGGAGTAGAACTTGCCAGTGGGTTTAGAGGGTAGCAAAATGCAGAGTGGCTTTTCCAGTGTGTGGAAAGTTCTGAGGAAGGCAGCATTGCTCCCACTGACAGGGAACTCTGTCTCAGTTACCAGAGACATCTGTATTTCAAGGAGCAGCATAGGCGGAGTCTCGAGATGGCTTGTCCTAGAGCACTTGTCCTAGAGTTACTGCTGTTGGGATGGAACACCATGACCAAAAGCAGCACAGGGAGGGAAGGGTTTATTGGACTTACACTTCCTTATCACTGTTCATCACTGAAGGAAGTCAGGACAGGAACTCAGACAAGGCAGGAGCTGATGCAGAGGCCATGGAAGGGTGCTGCTTACTGGTTTGCTCCTCATGGCTTGCTCAGCCTGCTTTCTTATGGAACCCGGTACCACCATCCCACCCACAATGGGCTCCCACTTCAATCACTAATTAAGAAAATGCTCTACAGGCTGGCCCACAGCCCAGTCTCACGGAGACAATTTCTCAGTTGGGAGTCTCTCCTCCCAGATGACTCTAGCCTGTGTCAAGTTGACATAGAGTTAGCCAGCACAGCAGGAGAGATGATGGGAGGATGATGTGTGAGAAGAATGGGTCTTGATTTCAGACTGCAGCATCCTCTAGAAGGGCTTTCACTGGATCCTGTGTGGGCTCAACTGTAAGTTGAAGCATGGTTGGTGGCTCCTCGGGGGATGCCACCCAATGTTCCCTTCCTCCAAACTGCTGACAAATACTGGGGGGGTGGTGGTGGTGGCTGAGAACCTACAACTGATGAAATAGATCTGTTTCCATCTACTGCTGGACTGGTCAGTGAATGATAAAACACAGGAGCTGTTTATCCAAGTGGACAGTGATAAAACATCTTGCTAAGAGGTGACATTGATGACTAATGGATCTATTAAATCACACAAATATCCTGTGCTGACTATGTGCCATGCATTATCTGATTTATACCTGGGGACAATAATAAAGATGTGGGTACCACTATCATCCCCATTCTGGAGATAAGGACACAGATTCAGGGAAGGACAGTTTGGACCTGAGTCAGTCTGACTCCCTGAGTGTTTGCAGTCACTATGCATGGATAAGGGGTTGAGGCTCTGGTCAGAGACCCAGGACTCCTCTATCTTGGATGCTGTAACTTCAGATGTCTGTACCTGCATTGCCTGATAGCTCCAGTGGGCCTCATTCAGTTAGTCTGGGAAGGGAGCCCAGGAATGGGTGGAACGAGGCTCTTGGAACGGAGGGGAGAATTGTTAAAAGGATGTGGAGGATGCCATCATGGCCTCAGGCCTCTTCAAGGCAAGGCTGAGCAGTGTCAGATCTGGATAAGGGGACCCTGGAGGCTCCAGCTAGAGCATTGATTGGGGACAGGTGGAGATGGAGACGGCATAGCCAGGAGAGTGTGTGCTCTGATCAAAGTTACAAAGGTCTGACTTATGGTGAGGGTTGACAGTGCACCAACTCACCTAGGAAACTACAGGAGTGCTGGGTCCTGAACCCAGTGCCTAAGAGAAATGCTTAGGTCTGTTAGGTACTCTGATTCCATCGTGGTGTCTCTCCATTTCCCCATCACTCTCCCCTACAGTCTTCTGATCACTGAATCTTGTCTACTTGGCCTTTTTTATTGTTGTATTGTGCATCCCCCACTCACCCCGTGTGTGTGTGTGTGTGTGTGTGTGTGTGTGTGTGTGTGTGTGTGTGTGTGTGTAGGTCAGAAGTTTAACCTTGGGGGTGTTCCTCAGACACTGTTCACCTAGTTATTTATGCAACAGGGTCTCTTACTGGCCTGGAACTCATTGATTAGGATAGGGGGCTGGCCACTGGGATCCAGGGATCTTCCTGCCTCTGCTTCTCTAGCCTTAGGGTTACAAATAGGTACCCCCATGTCGGGCTTTTTCTTCTTTTTGCCTGTAGGTTCCAGAGATTAAACTCAGTTCTTATGCTTGTGTGACAAGTGATTCTCAGCCTCTGATCTCAACAGCTCTGGAAACTACCCCACCTTCTACCCACAGCCAGCAGCATTAAATCAAGCCCTCATCTCTTCACTGGGACAGTTGTAAGGGCTGTTTCCCCCCCTCCCCCCCTCCCCCGCTGTTTACCTTGTCTCACACCACTGCGGCTCCTCCACTGCTAGCTCTCTTATCTTGTCTCTGACCACAGTGTCTTTTCTCACTCTCAGCTTGAAACTCAAGCTCATTCTTGGTCTAGGAGGGCTCGGCTGACCAGGACAGAGTCACCTCTCAACTCTTCCAAGCTTCTGCTCTAGCGCAGCGCCTCTCAACCTGTGGGTCGCAACTCCTTTGCAGATGAACAACCCCTTTCCCAGGGGTTGCATATCAGATATCCTACATATCAGCTACTCACATTATGGTTCATGACGGTAGCAAACTTGCAGTTATGAAATAGCAATGAAAATACTTTTGTGGTTGGGGGTCACTACAGCACGAGGAACTGTGTTAAAGGGTCTCAGCATTAGGAAGGTTGAGAGCCACTGACTGTCAGCTGGTTTCCTGAGATCAGCCCTCTTTTTCATACCTGCCTCTTCATTCATTAGACTCGCGTTCACTAACTCTGTGCTTTGGATGCACTGAGCTGCAGGGCCTCGGTAGCTCCCAGGAAGGCCATGGCATCAGAGTTTTCAGTGACTATTCCTTTCTTCAGTCAGAACTTACCTCAGTTTCAGCTCCTCAGAGTGACTCTCTGGTAATAGAGCTGAAGAAGGCACCTCACTCTTCCCTGTCGCTGCCTTACCACGTCCCTCCATCAACAGTGATTTCCTGAACATCTGAAAACACACACAGACACACAGACACACAGACACACAGACACAGACACACAGACACATGGACACACCTACAGACACATCTCCAGTTTCTTCTACTAGATTGTAAGCACCACAAGAGCAGGAACTTTGTGTCTTTTGTCTCCAGCATTTAGAACAGCTGAACAGAGTACTCACCAAATGGATGAAACCACTGAAGGCCCAGCTGGTATGTGAATGAATGACCAGAAGGCACTCCGTTGTTTGCTGAATGAGAGAATGAATGGGTTCTGACACCTTTAATAAAGCCACGATTCATTCGATGGTATTGCTAAGAACTATCCATGCTTCCCTCCAAGTGGACACATAGCTTCTCCGAGCCCTCTTGGAGAGTCTCCCTGCCTCTCCAGGAGATCACTCTAGCTGCTCTTTATCTGAGTCAGACCTGCTGCCTGCTCAGTCATGTCTGTCAGCTGAAGGAACCCAGCATGGTCTGGCCAGAGTTGGAGCAATGGGTTTTCTTCCTAATGTCAGCAATCTGACCTTGGGAAAGTGATGCCCAGGAGTTCAGCATTCCTTTTGGGCCAGAGGAACTAATGAAGGTCACTCTGAATGCTGCAGGTAGCAAAATGACCATCACATTGCTTGGCATAGTCAGGCTCAGGAAATGCTCCTGTGAGCTCCAGCTGCCTCAGGGACCAAAGGGTGCCCCCAGGCCCTACCTACCTAGAGACCTGCACTGTGTTCTTTTCACTGTTTGCTGAGACAGAGGAGAGGAGAGGGTACGAAGAGAAAGAGGAAAAGGAATTTGGATAAAGTGGCAGAGGTTTCTATGGCGTTTGGGAAGAGTGTCAACTTTGGTAGGTGTTGCCATTCCAGACTAGAATGACTCTAGGAGACAGATATGAAGCAGGATTTTCTTTGTCATTAGCCAAAGTATGTAGCAATGTTCTGAGGTGACTGGCTAGCTGTCTTCTATCTGTAAGTGCAGGTCAGGAGGCAGAGTTTCCTGGTGGCTCTAGTAGGCTTTGCTGATGTCCTTCTTTGGCTGAGGTCACTGTGCTTTGCTCTTCAGTCTGTGCCCTCTGAATACTCTGGGACTAGGAAGGTGGCCTCTACCCAGACAGAACTCAGCATTTCCTGAGATCTGTGAGTGGCATATGTGCTGCCCTTTGCCTGGCTGGACATTAAGACTAGAACATCCTCTATCTTATGAGCTAGAGTGTGGCTATGAATTCTTTTGCCACTCCAGTAACTGTCAGTCTTAATCGAGTCAGCATGTGGGATGGGACTTCTTTGTCTTTTCTGATGTAAAAAGGTCAGGCATCATAGGGTTGTTTTCCAGAGTTTGCCTAAGAACCTTCTCGGTCAACAGAGGAGAGGGCACAAGC